AGAACTCGGTGTTAGCACCAGGATGTCAGGCTGATGCCTGGGTTTAGTGTTGTGTAGGAACCTTGCCTTTATTAGAGTTTCCAGTTAAAATGCAACTCTCTGTCTAAATCGACCGAAGAAGTAAACATGTTATGTAGTCAGAGAATTCTTTCTACAATAGCACATCCTGTTCCTTAAGGAAGTTACACACCTAATTAGACACCTACTGTATCACTGTTGTCACTCAAAAACCAGAAAAGCACAGGGTATGACCTCAGGGGCTCAACATGGAGGAAAGGGCCATGGAGTCAGGTCCTGGTCACCAGGAGAAAGGTGTACCCAGAAGCCACGGGGTCTTGGGAAAGGGAACCCTAGAGATTCAAGTCCACCATCTTTAATAAGAAATGGGCTGTCTGTGCTGTGGCATTGACAATAAATAAAGAGTTTCAAGCTAAAGGGACTCAGGCAAGGACAGAGGAGAAGACTTCACCTGGAGCCAAGGCCTCGAGGAGAAAACTGTGGGGCCTGCTCAGACATCTACCTGGAGCCCACACAGAACAGTTGGGCACGTCCAGGGCACAGGACGCCACCTGAGTATTAACGTGAAGGGCCATAAGAGTCACACTAAGGAGACCTGTCCTTCATGTCAGAAAACCTGGCTCCCTACCTGGCTCTGCCACCCTTCCCCCACTATCTGCGTGCCCTTGGTCAAGAGACTTGACCTCTGTTGTCCCACTGTGTGCAGCTGGAAGAAATGGTAGCCCCACCTCATGGGAGGGAGACCACACATGTCAGTTGCTCAGAAGGACCCTGGTCTACGCTGCTGCCCTGGCATCCACCCCTTTAGTGACCTCTTCTCCCATCAGAAGTGCCCCCATTTGGACACTGTTTTCATCATCACTCTACTCACTGGGCTGTTGTTGTGAAGACAAAGAGAAGTGGTCACCAGTGGTCCGCAGGGAGTAAGTGATGTACTATTACTGGCCACTCATGTTTTACTGAACCTGGATGTAGGTAACACAGGCAGCAGCTGGCTATTGAGAAGGTTAATAGACCAACGTCATGTAGACTATGTTCAAAGGGAAGATCTGCATAAACTACATCTCAATGAAACTCTTTCAAGGAGTCAGAAAAATATCAGGTAAGAATGGATCAAAATATAGAGTTTAATTTCAACTTTGACCTTTTCCCTCATATCTGAACATGATTATCTCTGGAGCTCTTAGAGGATGGACTTTAGCAGGAAGTTCCATGGTCTGTAGTGGTCCTTATAGGCCACCAGGGTTTAATAGAACAGTCTTCTAGGTTTATAAATTAATTGCTGGCAGCTGATGTGTAGATAGCACTTACTCTGTGCCAAGCCGTGTTCTGAGGACATACGGGCTGTAACTAATTCAGGTCTCACAACAAACATAGGTCTCTTCCCATTGTACAAGGGGACCCCCTGTGAAACCCCACAGCCGGCTTGGCTCAAGGCATGGGAGGCGCCTGCTTGGCCTGGACAACAAGATCAACACACATCTCACTGCCATCAAGATGCCTCTAGGAACAGAGCCTGTCCTGAATTTCGTTCTGGGAAAGTACCTCCCAACCAACTTCTAGTTATTGGCATGACCTTAAGGAAGAAGAGATTCACCTCCAAGAACATCCTGGAGGCTAGTGTCTCAACAGCCCTGGAAGTGAGGGGCAAAGCCAGTTTTACAGAATCAGTGAGAAGTAAAGTAGAAAGTTTCTTGTGTCCAAATACTGTAGAGCTAATTTCTTCAACTACCTTACAATGAATGAAAAATTCAAGGATCATATACACTAAAGGTCCTTGTATCAATTTTATTTTCAGTGAATCACTGAGCATAACAATAGCTCTCACTGAATGTTATTACTTTTATTAAGTACGACAAGTCCTCAAATAGAGAATATTAGTTTGAGTGTATCTTAGGTCTTGGTTGAGCCTGAGTACCGGTCAAATATAATTCTAACCGCACATTTATGTCTCACTTCTGACTGAAGAGCTCACCTCTGCAGCAGGGTCTGTCATAGCAGGTGCCCCGGAGATGTCACTCCAACACTGAC